CAGCCTCCTGAATTCAACATGCTCCAGTGACAGCCTTTTCATCAAATAGACTTTGAAGGAGGCATATTTTTTCACAGTTTGAGTCCTAGCTTTTTTCCTCCAGGGTAGAGTTTATATTCCAAATAGCTTTCCCCCTCTTTCTGCTGTCTCAGTTTGAAACACCTAGCGTTTACCTCAGGCAAGTCTCTAGCTATTTTTATGGAACAGCAATATTTTAAAACCAGTAATCGGTTGTGCTTTGCCCTAACCGAGTTGTGCTTTTAAAGCAGAAAACATCAGAATATCTGAATAACAAAGGCAGGGAATCAGGAAAAAAAAAAAAAAAAAAAAGGTGTCTCAGGACAGCTCAGTTGGCAGGTACCAGCTAAAGGATGTTTACAGCCCGGAGTGGATTAGAGACCAGAACAGCGGCCGTAAAACGATCCAGCTACTGTACTCTGACTTTTGTGGAGGATGTTGTGCAAGCGCTGCAGCGGCGGCCTGACCTTTCCCTCACTGAACTTTGCTCGGCCAGGCCCCCTCCCGAGCGTGTTTGTGTGGAGCCGACAACCTCTCACCCACTTGGACTCCCTTCTGTGGCGGGAGCCCTCTGGGCAGCGACAGCTCCTGCGGCTGCGCAACAGCGGCTGGCAGAAAGATGAGTGCAGGAAGATACGTGCCTGGGCTTTACAGCTATTTCTGTCGTTTTTTTCCAACAAAGGCCTGCGTATATATTTAGGACATAAATCTCATGACATGTTGACCCACATGGATAAGTGCAGAACTGTACACTGACAGAGACTGAGGGCTTTGCCTGTGGTACTGCTAAAAATCTGACCAAGCGCTGCAAATACAGCTCACACCTTTCAGTCACCAAACCATTCCTCCCTTGAAGATTCAAAACCTGCCCACCAAACCCTAATAACTGTCACCCAATTTCAGACAAGTTTGAAAGATAATCCATTTCCTACAAACTTATTGCAAGCTGGCAGCTATGTTAGAAGAGATTCAGGTTTTGGTCCCTGTTGAGGATGAGGCAAGGGGAGCACCGCCAAGATGCAGCCCACTCAACAGCAGCAACCCCATCGGCGTTACACGCATTTCCGCTGCGCAGGAGAGCACATTGCACCTCCAGCACCTGTACGCAAGCGGTTGAGGAGGGAGAGCCTTAAATTACCACCCCCACGGAGGAAATGGCAGGGCAAAGTCAGCCGGGATACCTTCTGCTGGACAAATAGAACATGGCCAATTGTCACGTATGCATCCTGGCCTACTGGGGGCACTGCTCTGCCCCAAGCACAGCATATCATGTCTCTGTCACCCAGCATGACATTGGGAACGCTGGGAAGGCAGGGAGGGGGAACACCTGATTGCAAAGGATGGCATTTTAGGGGACAAATGAAAGGAATCATGGTGCTACTTGTTCTGCTGTTTTGCAACTAGCTGCTGTGCAAAGTGGAATGGTAAGACTCCATTTCTTTAAGATTTTCTGTAGGATAGCTAGCAAAACATTAACAACTGAAACAGGAAGTTCCATCTCCATGTGAGGAAGAACTTCTTCACTGTGAGGGTGACAGAGCCCTGGAACAGGCTGCCCAGAGAGGCTGTGGAGTCTCCTTCTCTGGAGATCTTCCAAACCCGCCAGGATGCCACCCTGGGCCCCATGCTCTGGGTGTCCCTGCTGGAGCAGGGTGGGTTGGACTAGATGATCTCTAGAGGCCCCTTCCAGCATCAACCATTTTGTGATTCTGCAATTCTGTGAAACAACAACTGAACGTGTTGTTATGCCCTTTTCAAAACTTGCCTTGGGGCATTACAGAAGAGAAAATGAAAATATTAAAATAGTAACAATGAGATATCATTTGATGATTACTACTGTTCAGAATCTGACCCAGCTTTCTCTAGCAATGCTGTTTTCAAGCACCAAGACCTGCAATTGTCACATGTACTAGGGCTTCAAGTGGAAGGGGAAAGCGGTGATTCAGAGAGGAAAGAACAGAGAGAGAGAGAACAAACAGTTCTGCAGTTAGAAGAGATTGTGGAGTTATTTGAAGTGGTTACAATATTCACAGGCCATTTTTCTATTCATATGCAACTTGGTTGATGGGAAATCCAAGTAACTCGTTACTTTGTGCATTAAAAGTCAGCCGCTGGGCCAATATTCAGAACCTTCCTAATAGTTATTGTCCAACTATATCACTCATTTCTTCAGGGACGGGAAATCATATCGTTCCAAACATGCTGTGATTATATAAAGAGTTACAGAGGCAAATCTGCATTATGAAGGAGCCAGGCTTCCTTCTAGAAGCAGTCATTAGAGTAACAAAACTGCTAGTTGTTGGAATGATACTTGTGGGATGCTGGTATGTAAAATTCCTGTAGAAGTTTGGTCTGTTTTGAAAAGTGTCTATGTTTTAAATTACTGGAGCCTTATTCCCTCAA